TCCCAAGCGAGTTCTTAACCATCGTGCCACTCGGCCGGCCCTGTTTGCTGGTATTTTGTTGAGGATTTTTGCATCACATTCATAAGGTACATTAGTTGTTTTTGCTTCCCTTGTGATGTCTTCATCTGGCTTTGGAATCAGGGCAGTGCTGGCCTCACACAGTGAATTTAGGAAGTGTTTCCTCTTCAGATTTTTTGGAAGACTTTTAGATAGATTGGTGATAATTCTTTAAATATTTGGTAGAATTCACCAGTGAAGCTGTCTGGTCTGGGCTTTTCTTTATTGGGAGGTGGGTCTGACACTGTTGAAGATGAGGTAACACGGCGAAGCCACCTGCAAGGTCACCCAAGATCAGCCAGGCGAAGAAGGTGAAGCCGAGATTTGGGGCTGTTTTTCTGTGGAGGAGGAGAACTATGCCAAGCAGGTGGCCTTCCCACCTTTATCCTGCCCCCAAGGCCATGTGTGAGGGCAGAGCCCGGATGTTTGTCCCGGTGGAGTCTGCCACGTCTCCCCATCCTGCGCCCTCTCCTTCTGTGTAGGCAGCAGAGGGTCTGGGATGCAGGCTACTGTGATCTCTTTTCTGTGTGTGTGTGTGGGGGGCTATGGGTGCGCAGATAGGTGTGTCTGTGCCCCCATCCTCGATCTGGAAGAAGTTGGTGAGGGGAGCTGCCGTCATGCAGCGTCCTCTGGGCCTCAGCCTGCGCATTCTGGGTTGGGGCCCCTCTGGGTTCCCTTGGGGGGGTGTCCACATGTGCATCTCCTGATTTCACATCCCCCTTGGGTGGAATCCCCAGGTGTATGAGAATTTAACAGACGTCCAGTGACTCATGGGTCAAATACAAAATCATAAAGGAAGAATAATAAAGTTCTACGTAGTAAAATGTGTAGAATGTCGCTAAAGTGGATTTTACTAGGGAATATACAGCCTTTTAAAGACACACTGGAAAAGAAGAGAGGCTAAAAGTGAGTTGAGCTTCTAACTTAGAGACAGAAGGACAGACCTTCAGGAAGTGTCCATATTAGTGCGGAGATAATGGGGACAGAAGTGGCAGGCTGCAGGTGGAAGGGCAGGCAGCTGTGATGGGGACACGCCTGAGGAGATGGCCACCGGATGGGCAGAACACACCTATGGGATGGTGTGCTGATTCCTGCGGTCCCCTGGCCTCGGCGTCCTGACCTCAGGAGGGGACCAGTCTGAGGACTGCCCTGTGCCCTCTGTCTGCCTCAGGACCTGTTCTTTAAGTACTCCTGGAATAACTTCCTGCACTTCCAAGTGGAGCTATGCGTGGCCGCTATTCTCTCCCATGCTGCCAGTGAGGACATGCCCCAAGCCAGTGGACCCGAGAGTGGGGTGGAGCCTCCGCCTGGGGCCAGGGCCCCAGAGACCTCCCAGCCTGCTGCCGGCCACCCCGAGAACACAATGGTGACCCACGTAAGTCCAGCCAGTGTCTAGTATTGCTGCGTGTCAGTGTCACATGCTGAGACCTGCCCAGACCGTGTGACACTAACGTTGATGGGGGCTGTCAGTGGCCAGCACTGCGCTGTCCCTCCTGTGTTCTCGAATCCTCGTGTGACTTGGGTGTGCTGTCCTGCTTTTACCCACGAGAGGAAACCAAACAGAAAGGGCCACAGAGCTGCTGGGGCAGAGGGGGTAGGCGGGAGGGTGTTCGCCCACATTGGTCTCGCCCGTTGCGGGCTGCAGCCTGAGTCTGCCCCTTCTAACCTGGCATGTCTGCTGTGACGTCTGGCATGTGACGTAACAAGGCCATGGAGGACAGTGCAGGGGCTGGAACATGCCCGATTCTCATGAGAAAACTCTGGGATTCTGGACCTTGTGAAGCCACGTGCATGAGTCCTCTACATGACACATGTTCCGATGCCTTCCCGCTCGCCTCTGAGCACTCTGCTCACCTGTGTGCACCTGCTTGTTGCCTGCTAAGCCCTCAGGCCAGGGGTGCAGGGAGCATGCAGCCCCTCAGACCCTGACCAGAGCCGCCTGTTCCCCAGCTGTTTCAGAAATGCTGCCTGGTCCAGAGGATCCTGGAGGCCTGGGAAGCCAACGACCACACACAGTGAGGACCACTGGGCACTCGACGGTTTGCTTTCAAGCGAGGGTTCCTGCTACTGGGGAAATAGCCGCTGGGGCTGCTGGGAAAGGCCAGGGCGCAGGGAGCTGACCAGGAGAGACAGGCAGAGCCACCAGGGCCTCCCGTCTCCCATCCCCACAGCAGCCCCTTCCCTCACTGAGGGAACTTGAACCCTCAGAAGAGTATCCAGGCCACTTCCTACTTCCTTCTCACTCCACCTGGCCTCCCGTCATGTGTGCAGCTGGGCTCTTTCTGAAATACACAGATGGTGTCACTCTTGTCTGAAAATCTTGGCCACCCAGGTCCCGTGTGGCCTGCAGGGTCCAGTGTGGGCAACCCCTCCTCACCGCCACCTCACTGCTCAGAGTGCTGCTCCCCGGGGGACTATCACCTCCCCTGGTCCATCCCTTACACCCTGCTGTGAGTGAACCTATCAGCACAAACTGGTGTCCATTCTCCAATATCAACATTCAGGACGGGGCGGCCATTCCTGCGCTGAGCCCAGCGCACATGTCACACAGCGCGACCCTGCACTGAGCCTGCTCTTGTGCATTTTGCCATCTTGTGCACACGGGCCCTTGTCCGGGAGGGCTTGCAGCTGTCCTGAGGGTCCGGGCTGGGCCCTGGCTGGCTGGCAGCTCACAGGGCCCCTCCCAGTTTCACCTGTGGCAGTCCCACCTGGCTGTCCTGACCTCTTCCTCTGCCGGGCCGGGCTCTTCAGCTCAGGTGCTCACCTTGGCTTCCTCTTCGGCGGTGGCGGGCTGTTAGAATGTGGTCAAGAGCAGACTCTGTCCACTCTGATCGAGTGTTGCATTTCTAGACACATGTGTGCACATGTGACGACCCGAAGCTGGGTTGTGTATGTGGCAGAAGGGCTGGACGCTTAGCCGTGTGCTCATGGCAGTGTGGATGGAGAGGTGGACAGGAGCCAGGAAGCGTGCTTCCTGCGTGTAGGGCTCAGTGAGGGGGTGGTGACTTGTGCAGCCAGAGGGCCAGTGACAAGCCATGCCCACTCGGGGCCCTGCGCCCCTTTGATCTTCCTGGAGCCTGGGACATGCTTGGTTGGCCTTGTAGCAGGGTGTTTGTAGTACCTGTCATGCCTTCTGCTGCGCTGGGCATCCCCTCGGACAGTGGCTCTGGGAGTGGGCGAGGGGGCAGCTCTCGGAGGGCCACAGGGCCAGTGTGCAGGGCTCACCGTGCACATGGGGTGTGTGAGCTCTGAGCCCCATGGACGCCCCAGTTTTCTGGTCCGTACAGTGGGGGTGGGGGCAGTGCCTGCCTTGTTAGCACCTGGGAGTGAGAGTGAGTGGCAGGCTGGCACATAGCAGGCGGTCTCCAAAACCAGCGTCCTGCGGTCTGGCGAGGCTGTGAGGGGCCCTGTGGGGGGGGGGGCGAGTACCGGCCGGTGGCGCCCTGACGCTGCCGATCCCTTTCAGGGCCGCAGGCGGCATGAGGCGTGGGAACATGGGCCACCTCACTCGGATTGCCAACGCGGTGGCACGGAACTTGGAGCGGGGCCCCGCACACACCCCCGTCGGTGAGGTCATCCGAGGTGAGCCCCGCTTCAGGTGTGGCTGCCCGGTCCTGGGACACCTAGCCTGCCTCCCCACGTGGGCTCCCCTGCAGGGTGCCTGGGCGTCATATCCGTTCAGCAGAGCAGATGTCTATCTGGTCTCTGGGCAGTTCACGGCTCAGGCCGGCTCCCAGGAGACGGGTCAGCTGCTCATGCCCGCCGGTCCCGGCAGAACCCCGTGCTCCTGGCGACAGTCTGGCCGCTTCCTGAACTCAGGCGGCTTTGGGGACCTTCCTAGCATGAGTGTGGGAGCCAAGGAGGTGGCCCCCGTTCCCTGGATGAGGCCAGGTGCTGAGCCCTGTGTGACCTGAGCAGAGGCCACCCTTCCCCTGGCCAGGCCTCACCTCCACTCTCCACCTGCCCCCCCCCCGGGGGGGGCCTGCTGCCCGTGCCCCTCCCCTGCCCTCTCACGTTCTGGACACACAGTCTGCAGCTCCTGGGCCCTGAAATTCATGAGCTGAGCAGGGAAGGGCCCTGGGGCTCTCGGCTCAGTCGGGAAGGCTGGTGGCTCAGAAGGGCCCATGTGGCCTCGCTGGGGAGGGGACCCCAGGCCAGTGTGAGCAGCGTGTTCATAGGGTGCGAGGGGCACGGGAGCCCAGGGATGGCCAGGAGGCGGGGTGTGTTCGAGGGGTCAAGGAGGACCTGATGGGGATGAAGGATGAGGACCCACGAGGCCAGGACCCCTAGGGGGCTGGGGGCTTGGTCACACCGGCTTCATGGCAGAGACGTGTGGGGCCTTGGGACGGTGGCCAAGAGTAAGATGGCCATGTGCTCACGGATGGTGTTGCACAGAGGAGGGTGTGTGAGGAGCCAGCCAGTCACGCCATGTGGGGGCCGCAGGCACTGGGAACCCAGAGCGGGCCCAGGGCAGGGGCCTCGGCCTCCCTCCCTCCCAGCTGCCCCAGATGTCACCTCAGGGCCCTCGCGGACCTCCGCGGTGGCGCTCGTCCCGCCCTCTTGGGTCACCAGGCGCCCACTCCCTGCAGGGCTCCCTGCGGACTGCCGCGGGCGCTGGGAGAGTTTCGTGGAGGAGACGCTGACGGAGACCAACCGCAGGAACGCCGTGGATCTGGTGAGGGCCTGGCCGGCATCCTGTGGCTGGGAGTCCGGAGCTCAGAGCCCTGGGGCCCCTCGGTCCTGCCCGGCACGTCAGGAGCCCGTGTGGCCTGGCCCTGGGGGGTGGGGCTCATGTCCACTCACTGCTGTTTCAGGTAAGCACCCACCACCTCCACCCCTCAAGTGACGACGAGGACATGGAGGGCGCGTTCCCTAACGAGCTGTCCCTGCAGCAGGTGTGTGGCCAGCTCCGTGCCTTCCCCACCAGGCCCTTTCTCGCGCTCTGGGCAGCGCGTAGGCCCCAGGTGTGCGGCCGCCGCCTCACCTTGCTGCCTGGGAAATAGGCCCCGCCCACACACCCTTCCTGAGGGGCGGACCCCCAGAGCAATTACACTGTTGGGACCCCTGGACACGGTGGGTGAATTAAACGCTCAACGGGGCAGTTGAGACATGACCGACCACACATGAACATGCCCCCCGAGTGGTCAGGACTCGGGGAGCTCCTGGAGGCTGAGGCCTGCCCTGCAACGCCGTCTCTCCCAGGCTTTCTCCGAGTACCAGGTCCAGCAGATGACGGCCACCTTCGTGGATCAGTTTGGCTTCAATGATGAGGAGTTTGCAGACCAGGACGACAGTGTCAAGTGAGGCCACCCGGACGCCTGGAGTTGCGACTGCGTCCTCTGCGACCTCGCTGTCCCCCCCCAGCCCTTCTCCAGCAGGCGCCTTGCATCCCTTGGGGCTGCCTTCCGTGCTGTGACCCCAATTTGAGCCTTCACCACCTCAGTCCCTTTGGGAACGAGTTGGATTCTGCTTAGTGTGACCAGGTCCCAGGCCTGTGGCTTGGCCCCACCTGGCCCTAGAGGCCGTCACGCCATTTCCTCAGCTGACACCAAGTGTGACCCCGCATGCAGAGCCTCTGCAGGCGGAGTGGTTGAGCGTGGCCCTCAAGGCCCCCTCCTGAGACATCCTCAGGGAAGGCAGATTGTCACCCGTGCAGAACAGACAGAGTAGCGGGTGGGGTCAGCCCTAGGTTGCTGCATCCACAGGTGCAGAGAAAGCAAGTGAGCGTGAGAGGGCCCAGGTGTGGGTGCCGCCACCTCCATTCCAATCCCCTCCCCATGTCCTCACCGCCTGTTGCTGCCGGGCAACGTCCACAGTCCTGCACTTGGCTCAGGGCTGCAGACCCTCAGGTCTCTGTGTGGTGTCACCTCCCCGCTTCCTCCCCAGGGCCTCCAGCCCAGCCCCTCTTGATGTGTTGCGGGGGGGGGCCCTGGTGAGATGGTGTGCCCCAGGGGACACGCCCCGGGGCCTGGTGCTGAGCGTCTGCTTTCATTTTAGTGCCCCATTTGACAGGATCACAGAGATAAACTTCAACATCGATGCTGACGAGGACAGCGTGAGTCCCCCACTCGGTGCTTGTTGGAGGCGGACGGGGGACGGGGCGGTGGGTGGTCAGCGGGGAGGTCTAATCCATGAGAGCAGTGAGGGACAGGCGGGCGCTGTTGCAGCCCAGCGCTGCTCTGTTTGAGGCCTGCTGTGGAGACCACATCCAGCCCTTTGACGATGACGAGGATGATGACATCTGGGAGGACAAGGAGACGCACTGTGCCGCCCGGGTGATGGCCAGAGCCAGGTGTGTGGCCCATCCTCCCCGAGCTTCCCCGAGGAATGAGGCCCCAGGAGGCTGTGACACCCCTGCTCTGACTGTGCGTCTCCCCAGGTTTGGGGGCCCTCATGCCTCAGAGAACGGCCTGGCGCGTGGAGGCCAGGACAGGGAGGAGGCAGACACGGGTGCGGCTCGGGTGGGGGCCTCTCCTGCTGCTGCCCAGAAGGAAGGTCCTCGCATGGACGGTGGTTCAGAAGGTAGATGTTGGGGGGCAGGGTCCAGGCTGGGCAGGGGACGCGGGTGACGGGGGATTTGGTGACCTGGCCTGTGAGTGGCAGGGGCTCCCATGGGCCTAACACCCACTGACCTATCTGCACACTTTTGAGCACATGGCCCTGAAGGCAGTGACTTTCCTGTGCCCCCAAATGCAAGGACACAGGCTTGGTGGCAGGTGCTTTGGCTCAGTCCTGACCCTCAGCCACACGGCCCACCGGTCCCGTCAGGGAAGGCGCGCCCACACCGCCTCTGTGTCAGCTGTGCCTGGCGTCTCCCCCTGGCAGGCACATGGACGGTGTTTGATGAACCAGTGAGCCCTACGGCTTCAGCTCCCGGAGTCGCAATGGACGTGGGTTCCAGTGTGTGGTCAGCCAGCACCCCCAGCACCTCGGCTCTGGAAGACAAAGGCTGGGCCAAGTTTACCGACTTCCAGCCTTTCTGCTGGTAAGGGGATGGCTGGGAGGCGACGCTGTCCGCCTTGGGACAGTGTGTCCCCGGCTCGGGCTCAGCCTCATCCTCGTCCACAGCTCCGAGTCGGGGCCCAGGTGCAGCTCCCCAGTGGACACAGGCCTCGGCGATGCCCAGGATGGCCTGAACCAGGGCCCAGAGAGAACTCGTGAGTAGGCGCAGCTCTGAAGGCAGGGCAGGCACAGTGGGGAGGTGGCCCCGGGCCCCAGGGACTGGAGCAGTGTGTGCAAGCGGGAGCACCCCAGGCCCGGGGTGGGTGGCAGAGCCACTGGGCTGTCCTTGGAGTGCGGGTCTCTGACAGTCCCACAGCAGCCCAGAGCCCTGGTGGGCAGTGAGGGCCTTCCTGACCCAGCGGTATCCCCAGGCCTGGTCACCTTGTTGGTGCGGCCACACATGTGCACTGTGCTGCCTCAATGGCAGTCGTGAATCTATTCAGAGCCTTTGGCCCGGAGCCCCATCACACAGACATGAAAGCTGCCAGGGCGTCAGGTCCACGGGGAGCGGTGGGACTCAGAAGCCACCCTGCAAGGGGAGGACAGTCCCTTCACGTGGACAGCTCCAGGCAGTGCGTGGGACAGGCTCTGTCCCAGTTACGCCAGCTGAAGTTCTCGCATGCCCACACGAATTTGGGGGCCCCTCCGCCCTCACTGATGTCACTGGGTTCCTGTCTTGCAGCTGGCCCTGCCTCCCCGTGTGCCTGGAACGTGTGTGTGTCCAGGAACGCCTCTCTGGTGGCTTCCAACAGTGACGAGGACAAGCAGAAGGTGGCTGTCACCTCAGAGGCTGTCAGTATGGGTCCTGGCCGGGAGGCCCCCCCACTGCCCACATCTGTCCCCAGGTGCACAGGGGGTCTGGTCGTCCCCAGCACTGCGCTCGCCTGGAAGCAGGCGGACCCTGCTGCCCCGTGACCCCAGTGGCGTGCTCTGTGGAGAGGGCTACCCCTGCTGGGGTGGTGGGGCCTGAATGTCCTGCCGCCCCCCAACCCCCCCAGAGGCCTCCGTGGACAGGACACCAGGCCTGCCAGTTGTCCCTGGGGTGGTGGTGGCTTGGCTTCTACCCTGTCTGGTGTGTGCCAAATCCCAGCCACGTGTCCACCTAAACGGGACACCTGGGGAGGCCCGTCCCCCTCAGACAATAGGATGGGGTGTGTTAGGACTTGGCTTGGGGCATCTGAACTGTGATTGGGGGTGTCCCTCCCCATACTCAGGAAGGTCCAGGCCTTTGGGATCCTGGCTGGGCAGGGTGGGGGAGGACTAGGGAATGGGTGGCAGATGGGCTGGAGGAGAGGCGCTAAGGGGTGAGGAGGGAGGTCCCAGGTGGGACCCCCACCAGGAGGGAACAGGGAGCAGGTGGGGCAGGCTGGCACCATGCAAGGCCCCGCCCACTCCCCACACCCCCCTCTGGTGGCCCCAGGTGATTTGGAGCTCCATGCATCCCATTGGTGGGGGTCCAGCTCTGGCTCGCTAGGACCCCAGGCAACACGGTGCTGGGGTTTGCAGGGGGGGCGCATTGCCGGAATGAAAAGCCTGGGCCAGGCGAGGGGGCATCAGGGCGCCTGGGGTTCCTGAAGCAGCTTCCTTCCTAAAGTTTAGTCACTAAAATTTTCCAGACCTTGTCCTAACCCCCCCCCCAGCCCCCCTCACGGCATCCTGCTGTGAAAGCGGCAGGCAGTCTGTCTGCAGGGCCCTGGGGCCCTGGCCGCGTGGGTGGGGCTTGCGCCTTTGCGAGTCGGTCACCTCCAGGCTCTCATGTGGCCTGTTTCTCAGCTGCTCTGACCCCCACAAAGCCCCTCAGGACCTTGCCTTTGCAGGCTCCTTGTTAGGCTGGAGTTGACATCACATAGTGGATGGAGGCAGGTGTGGACCAGGCCAGGGGAAGCTGTGGGCACGCCCTCCCGGGCTGCAGAGAGGGACCCAGTGTCTGGAGGCCACTGCCGCCCTGGCCTGGCTCTTTCGTTGTGGGAGAGTGCGTTCTGGGCAGACAGGGCTCACGGGCTGTAAGTAAGGCCGCTGGCAGCCCCGGAGGGAGAACTTCTGGGCCAGGGTGGGGCTGTGGAGACCCCACTCCTGGCCAGCAAGCTCAGGATGACAGGCAGGTTGTCTCCTGCGTGTTTGGAACTTGGGGTGAAGCTGCCTTGGGGGTGGCCCAGGTAACCAAGCCCACGCCTGTCACAGGGCCCCGCACGCTGCCAGCACACCACCAGATCCTGCCTCCCCTGCACCTGCAGAAGCCACCTCCGCCCTGTCTGTGGCTGTCCCCCTCGAGGCAGCCACCACAGCACTGAGCAAGGCCTGTCCTGTCCCAGCCACCCCAGCAGTGTCTGTGTTGGTGGTGTCCGTGACCTCAAGGCCCGTGGTGGCCATCACCACCACAGCCCCAGCCAGCCCAGCCCCAGCCAGCCCAGCCGTCTCCACGGTGGCTGTCCTGGGGACAGGGACAAGGGACAGGTGAGCAGGATGGGCCAGGGAAGGAGACGGAGTGGGCTCTTGGACCCTGAGCAGCTCTGACACCCCACCCCTCTCCGTGCAGGACCTTGGACGAGCCACCGCCTGCAGGAACCACCTCCAATGGCCCCGTGTGAAGCTGCTGCCGCCCAGCCATGGCGTGCCCTTCATGGAAAAACTACCTGGTGATGCAATTTGTCTTTTTTAATTTAATTTAATTTTAAAATAAATGCTGCATTGGCAAAGCTGGCAGTTGGAACCCGTTGGCCGGCCCAGCTCGCCTCGCTCCTGCCCGACCCCACACACAGCAGTAAGGCCTCAGAGGTGCGCTCGGCCTGCCAGAGCGGGGCCGTGACCCTGAGATGCCACAAGGACGGAGGGCGTGACGGGCGCAGATGCCACAGGCTCGCAGACTCAAGTTTTTACCGATTTTTTTAACAAATGCAGAAATAACCGGTTGTTTGCACTTTGGGTCTTCCTGGCTCTGGGGATAAATGTGTCTGTCTGGAGCTGGGCTGGCCAGACGGGGTGTCAGCTGCCCAGTGGCCCTAGGCGCTGGCCTTGAGCCAGGCTGCAACGTGTGACTGCCTTAAGCCCTCGCACCGGTGTGTTTGGGGCACCTGGCAGGGGCTGACCATGGGCGTGCAGGAGGGGGTGCCGGGTGGGTGAGGGCTGCACCTGGGGGCGGGGCCACATCATCCTCGAGGGCCCACAGGATTGATGTCGTCCATTTCTAATGTTCTGATCTGACAGGGCCCCCGAAACCCCAACTCCTAATAAAGTTGTTATTCTTACTGATAAGCCGCGTAGTTACGCTGCGGGCCATGGGGGCATCTGCTGCCCCCAGGCCCGTCCCGGGTCGTAGCTGCTGCTCTGTAAACAAGCTCTACCTGGAACTTGAGAGTCAAAACCAGCAGCCAGTGCTGTCCCCAGAGGGCCACCCATCCTCACTGAGGGCACTGGGCGGTGGGGGGAGGGTCTCCCCACAAGGCCTCAATCTCTCCTCGGCAGCCCTGGGCCCCCCCGCTCTGGGGACTGCTGGTGTCCCCACCTCCCCTCCGTGGGAACAGCCCCATGGCCACCTGCCTCCCTGTGAAATCACAGGCCTGGGACCCCCGGCTTGTGGGTTTCCTGGGTGTTGGGAACCTTGGTCTGACAGCCGTCCCTGTGGCCTAGGGAGGACCTGGGTACCCTCCTCATGGCCCAGCCAAGGCCACCTGTGGGTCCTCCCGCACCTGCAGAGGCCCAGTCTGCACCTGTGTCCACCTACTGCTCACCTCCCACCTGACAGGTGCCACCGCTGGCTAGGCTCCCCACACCACCAGCCCCTCACCAGGAACCAGCGGCACCGCCCAGCCACCCTGGGATGGTCTCTCAGCCTATTTGATACCCACCCGCATCCCCCACACCTCACCTGCTACCAGCCCTGCAGACGAGGCCCTGGGCCTGGCAGGACTCGTGTGGGGATGGGAAGGGAGCAGCAAGTAGTCGCAGTGGCACCCAAGACACCGGGGAGGGGGAGGTGTTCAGAGCCCAGTTCCCAGCACCAGGGCCATCGGGTAGCAGTCCTCGCCTGCCACACGGTCCCTTGCTCCCCAGGCAACCCACCCCTCCCACCCAGTCTGTTCTCTGGACAGACGCCTGGGGGCTGCACCCCCCCCCCCCCCATGGAAAGGACTCCCTCCTCCCAAGAGGCCGCTTGAACAGGGAGGGAGGTCATCCTGTCCGGTGGCACCGGCCCCAAGCGGGAGCAGGTGAAGCGCCCGCCCAGGGCAGGGACAGCCTGGCACCAGCCCTCGGCCCCACGCGGGGGACCCAAGGCCCGGACAGAGCTGGACGGCCGCGGAGACAGGCGCGTGGCACATAGTTAGCTCTCTTTATAGACTCTGGTTCTAGGAACAGGGCGCCTCGGCCGGCCGGGGCCAGCGCACGGACGGGCCGGCCGGGCGGGAGTGGGCTATTTACAGGCCCGCCGCGAGGGCCGTACCGTGGCCGCCTCCCGGCCGGCCGGCGCTCAGCCACCTCCGATAAGTTAGAGCCGGCGGG